TATCTTACTGTCGTTGCGCTATACTGCTACTGCAAATCCCAGTATCTGCAATCCTGTTTCTGTAAAACGTGGACGTTCTTCGTTTGCACCTGCGAAATTTTCTTCTGGTCCTTCTTCCCCCCCAATTTCGCCAGGTGTAACACGAACTGCTTCGTCGGAGACGACGGGCATTGGCTGTTGTTGACGATCACGTTCGTCTTGGTGAACTTTGCGAACGTCATCTTGGTCAGTATCTGCAAGAGGAATGAATTCAGGTATGCCAGTCGAGGTTACAGGTTCGGGAATGTCAGTTGCGGCAGCTTCGGATGCTTCAGAAACTGCTTCGTCCTGTACATCAGCTGCGGCCTCGTCAGTGGCAAACGCACGCGAGCCTTCGAACAGCCTGGCGGGGTTGGCAGCTGCTGCCTGATGGGCACGAAAAACGGGCAAGGTGAGTCTTTCATAGAAAAGACAATCACGTGATGGGATGATTTGGTTGGAGCGGAGATCCAAAATCTTCCACGCATGATACTGTTTTTCGATGCCGAGATGTACCCCCCATTTTGCTCGTTCGGAAAATTTGCCGAGAGCTGCAGTTGGAGGACGAAACTGTACAACACACCCGAAAACGCGTAAAAGTTTTGTACTCCCCACTGTACGTGTCCACTGCAAGTGTGGAGAAGAGAACTCGGGCAGGGATGTTGAAGAAAGAAGATGGTGTAACAGCACGGCGTGGTCCATCGCATACGGCCAAAAATGCGGTGGAAGGGCTGCCTGCGTCAGCAAAGCACGCATCTTCTCCTGCAGAGTTCTGGTCATCCTTTCTGCTACCCCCATCTGTTGGTGTGCATGTGGCAGCGACTGCTTCCGTTTGATGCCGAGGGTCTGAAGGTATTCTGTGAAGGTATTGCTGGTATACTCCCCTGCACCATCACTTTGAAATTCTTGCAGTTTCACACCTGACACTCGTTCAGCGACAGCGAGCGACGCGACGAAAACGGAGTGAGCGAGATGCCGCGCAGGTAAGTTTGCTGTCCAAACATAGCGTGTGGACGCTTCGATGAAGGTGATCACATACTTCTCGTCTTTAGGTCCTGCTTCAGACAAGTTAAGTATGTCGCTGTAGGCTTTCTGCATGAGGTTATAACGTGTTGAGCCAGGAAAGTGACTTGGAAAAGGATCGTGCGTAAGGTTGGCAACTGGACAGGTGGTGCAAACTGTGATTGCAACTGCTGATGCTGCTTCTGTTGATGTCGTGGCAGGTGTTTCGGCAGCAGCTACTGTTGAACTCAGCTGCTCAGCTACTGCTTCCTGTTCTGCTTCTCCAACGGCATCTGGTTCATCAGCTGCAAGACCACTTATCTCTCCCCAAAGTGGTGCTGGAGTTCCTTGAAAGGCTGCACGGGTATTATAAAAGGTGCGCCAAGCGTTGGCGCTTTCATCGGCTATATTAAACTCCCATGTATCCAACGCGGTAAGTACGGCTGCTGCAGTTCGAGAAGCTGTTGGGACAGTTGTTGCTCGAAAGTCAATGTCCACGTGTTGATAATCTGTTTCTTCTGGGTGGTCCCAGGGACCAAGTGCAAGGACGCGTTCAGAATCGCCAGAAGTTCCCTGTGCTGCGAACTGAAGTACCGACACGCCATGTTGAGTGGCGGCATGACCAATGTAGGTATTAGTTGTACTGTGCCAGAGCTCTTGATCCATCGTCTCACAATTTCCTTGTGTGCAGATTTTGTGTGCCAGGAGTTGAGCTGTGGAAAGAAGGTTGAAGCCAAGACCGGCGACGATAAGAACATTCGTAACATGAAGCGAGTATCCCGTGTCGATAGATTCGAGCATGACACTGCCAACTGATCGTGCCATTATCGTTTGTCCGTTGGCGACTGTGACAGGTATCGGACGACGAAGCGGACGCTGATTCGTGATAAAGCTTGTTTCGGCAGAACGCATATGCCATCCGCAACAGCTGTCCTGAAATTATGCGAGCAAGGTTAGCGTTAACTTGAGGTAAAGGAATGCCTTCAGCACTTGTTGTTTCTTCAAGTCGTGTTTCGAAATCTGTTTCTGAAACATCGACTGTTGTAACACATCCAAAAACTCCTTTTCCTGATGTGGCAGATGCGAAGACTGGCGGACGATGCTGCGGCGTTGATGAATTCTGCGACGGTTTCGGTATCTGCTGCTGCTGAGATGTTAACTGCTGCTGTGGCGGTTGTGCCTTCGTGGACTGCTGCGATCGGGGATACGGCTGCGAAGTGCTGCGACGTTGATGACGGCTGCGACAGTTTTGGTAAGTATGTCCTGGTTTCTTACAGAAATGGCAGAACGGATACTTTGGTGGATGTCGATGTTGTGTTTCTGGATTGGAGTAAAAACTTAAATGAACCCCCCTTTTCTGGTTGCGTTGTGACTGCAGGTCAAGATCTTGCTGCTCTGCTTGAAGATAAGAAGAAAATTCAGCTTCGGAGAGGTTGGGATTCATGCGCAGGAAGGCGCGCGTCTGTCGCCATTCGGGTCCAAGCCCAGCAAGAAGGACAGTGAGATACATCTCACGAGGGAAGTATCCTCCGCTCTTTTCCAGCTGATCGCGTAGCGTACGGACTCGGTTAACGTAGTCCATGACATTTTCGGTTGTCATCATCTGCACACTTGTCAGCTGCGAAAGTATTTTACTCACTGTTATCGTATCCTTTGCCATGTATACCCCTTTCAGATGATTCCATGCAGTTTCGGCTGGTGTGAAACTTGAGTGAAATGATCGAACGCCGAGCTGCTCCTTCGGCGACAGGTTTCGTACAAGAACTGTATACGCCCCGAGAGAGGCGTGTAAAAAACTCTGCTGCTCCAGTTGTGTTCCCACGACAGGGTACGTAAATTCGCCAGTGAAGAACTGCCATAACCCAGCGGACTGCGCCAGGAGTTCAAACTCAAAGCTCCAAGAGTAGAAGTCAACACCATTAAAAGGTACGGTTGTCTTGATCTGAGTATTGTTAAGTAAATTTGGAGGCTGAAAAACAATGCCTGGCTGTTGCTGTTGTTGTTGTTGTTGCTGTTGTTGCTGTTGCTGTTGTTGTTGCTGTTGCTGTTGCTGTTGCTGTTGCTGTTGCTGTTGCTGTTGCTGTTGCTGTTGCGGTACTTGCTGTGGTTGCTGATACTGCTGTTGCTGTACTTGCTGTGGTTGCTGAGCAGGAGAATGACCGAAGATATAAAAGGGATGCTGAAACTGCTGCGACTGCGGCTGCTGTATGAAAGGTGAGAAAGCAAACGAACCAGTACTTGGAGCTGTAGCTCCACGCATGTAACTTGAGCCGTCAAGGCTCATTCCACTGAACGCAGATGAAATCGATTGCGTTGAAACTGGTGGTTGAACTGACGCTTGTTGCTGTGCTGTTGTCTGTGATTGTTGTTGTTGCATTGCAGGTGCAGTCGATGGAGCATCTGAAGTATTCACAGAAGGCGGATTCTGCATACCGATATTAGCATAGGCTGGTGGAAAATGCCCAGAGGCTGAGAGACCAGCGGCGGTAGTGGAGGCATGTGCTCCAGTAGTCCCAGTAACTGATCCAGCAGATGGTGCTGGTGTTGAACCAGTCATAGTTGACGGTAGTCTTAATTCCAGATAGCTCTCATACCATGAAGTAAATCGTCTGGTGTTGTAGTAGACTAAGTATAAAACTATAAACACGAACACTTGGCAAATCCTCAAGTGTTGGTCCAGGATCTTTGCTGGAATGGTAGACTAGTAAGACAGCGGAAGTCTTGTAAAATGTAATAGTCAAGGTTGAATAACCTGAGTATGTGAACTTGTGGGTAATCAAAGTTAATAATGAAAAGACCTGACAAGGATTTATAGTTCTAGCAAAAGTACCTATTCGTTAATGTACCTGTTCGTCACTATCGCGCTATGCGCCCTAGATGATAATGAAGAGGCCCGACTGTTCGCGTGACTGAAACGACTGTCCTATGACGAGCGCTATTTGCTGACGTCATCCTACGGATTTATCTTCTACAGTATGATTCGACACTAACTACACTTAATCGACTTACAGAAATGCTAAGTACCAATTATATAACAACAGCTTGGTGTGTGAGGGAATGTTTGAGGACTTCACCAATTTTTGTAGGTTGTTGTGTTGTGTGTGGGGGGGAATGTCTCTGGAGATTGGGGACTTCGACTAAATTTCCGCATTGTGAGCTACATGGATGTCGCATCCAGGGTTCGTACGCGTTACTCCCTGAAAACTCAGTTTTGGGATAACTGTCAGAAACCCAGTCACTAACCACTGGGTTAAAAGGGCTTGTTGAATAGCGGGTACGTGCGCCCATAGCCCCCCAGGCTCTGCACCTGTGGCCCTTCCCCGAGGATCTCAAGGGCAACCCCAGCGGGTCACTCAACACCCCCCCCCCCCGCTGGGATAGGTGGAAGACACTAGCGCCTCTGCAGCGCTGGCACTGGGAGTTGAACCCAAGACCTTTGGCTCTGATGTACCATGTCAGAAACCCAGTCACTAACCACTGGGTTAAAAGGGCTTGTTGAATAGCGGGTACGTGCGCCCATAGCCCCCCAGGCTCTGCACCTGTGGCCCTTCCCCGAGGATCTCAAGGGCAACCCCAGCGGGTCACTCAACAATAACGCAAACCCTGAAATTCAAAGTGTTCACAGACATACAACCCTGAAGAGGTTAGGGTTAAAAAAAACCCAACCCTGAAAATTAAGGGTTGGCCAAAAAAATACCCTGTGAAATCAGGGAATCAGGGTAAAATACCCTGATAGCGACAGGCCTGACTTAGACTCCTGCAACACCTGTCAAATTCTTACATGTATAAGTTGACACAGGTACGGATGATGAGGAATACAACCTCTCTGCAGCAATCAGATTACATAGTTAAAATTCTCTGAATTTTCAGACACGTTTTTCGTGTTTCTCTGTAAAATCAGACATGGTTTCAAGATTTCTCTGAACAACAGAAGTGAATCAGACAAAGTGCAGAAGAGTAATCTGATCCTTCAGAAGAGTAGGTTAGCTGTGCTTGTATTTAGCCGTGTTTCATTTGTACTAGTCAAACTTTAATCACGACCTCACTATGGCATTACTCGACTCCTATCCGGTACCATCATAACAAAAAGCGACCTGCTATCGCATTAAGCGAACTGTACAATATACGGCAACCTCTCAATCCAGCGGCTGCACCCACCGCGTGCTACTTGGAGACCTGCCCCGCCAAACCTGCCTGCCACAGCGGCAATGGTGGTAGTGCCGGGGAAGCAGCCGAGGGGCGAGGCTTCGGCGCAGGGCAGTGGGCGAGGGGCACCCGCAACAGGCGCTAATAATGCTGCAAGAATGGCTATGGCTTCCTCGTCGATTGTCATCGAGAGAACGAGGGTCCAGCCATGGATCTGTAAGTATTTCTTCCGCCGTCGGTCGCAGATCCGGATCGCTAGCCATCATGCGACAAATTAGGCTTTTCGCTTGCTTGGAGACGAACCACCAGCAGGGCGAGCTCCAATCTCGCTTCTCGTTCAGGCGCCTCTTACTAGCAGGGCCGTACGAGCCTTCGTCAGGGATGTAACTTGCGTAGGATGGCCACTTCCCCGATATCATCGCGTAGAGCGTGACTCCCAGGCTGAAAATATCCGCGCTATAATCGTACGGCGTTCCGGCCACAACCTCAGGAGCCTCGTACGGGAAACTCCCCGCATAGCCCTGCACGCACTGGCCGGGCTTGAGGTGGATGGAAATGCCCAGATCGACTAGCTTCGCCGTGCTCCCGACTCCTGCCGCTGCCGCCGTAGTGTTTTCCCTTCCTTTTCCGCCGCCGCCGTGCCCGCCGCTGCTGCTGCTGCTGTCAGTGTCAGAGCGTGGATCGCCGTGAAGTCCGGTCGACAGAAAGTGCGGGGCAGAGTGGGATCGAGGGGAAAGTTTATCCGTTACAGGTGCCGCCGCCGCTGCCGCCGCCGCCGCCGCTGCCTCCGCCGCTGCCTCCGCCGCTGCCGCTGCCTCCGCCGCTGCCGCTGCCTCCGCCTCCTGGTGTGCATACGCGGCGTAAGGCGGGGGGCAGTAGCCGCTAAGCGGCACGTCGCTGCTGCTGCTGCTGCTGCTGCTGCTGCTGCTGCTGCTGCTGCTGCTGCCGGCGTAAAACCTTTCTTTGGGCACTGAGGGAGCAGCTTTACTAGTGGCAGCACCCCTACTACTTTTAGGAAACATGAGGACATTGTCGGGCTTAACGTCGCGATGAACCACGCCGCGCTCGTGGCACTCCTTTACTCCCAGAACCACGTCGCGGAACACGCGCTTCGCCTCGGCTTCTGACAGGCGCCCCTTCCTCTCGATTATGGCGAGAAGATCCCCGCCAGTGCCGAGCTCCATTACAAGGTATAACGAGTGGTTCAGCTCGTCTCTATACACGTCGCGAAGCGCCACGACGTGATGCGAGCCTCGCAGACGGAGCAGCGATTTCACTTCCCGCCGCGCGCCGCGGATGGCGCGCTCGCTTTCCCCCGCCACGTACTTGCATGCGAAAGCCTCCCCCGTCGCTCGGTCCGTGCAGCTCCATACCACGCCGTACTCCCCGCGACCGAGCTTCTTTCCGAGCGCGTACTTGGCGTTAAGGTCGAACAATGTTCCCACTGCGGCCGTCGTCGGCATACTTAGAAAAACGAGTGAGGCTCAGTTGCTCGTCTTTAAATTCTGGTCGCAGTAGTCGGGATTCCCGAACTCCGCGCTGTTGCTGCTCGCGTCGGTAATCAAGGCAAATGGTTCAGTCCGAGCTTGGTTGCTAAATATGTCCTTGGACTATGGTTGCGCATTCTGCACATTCCACTAAGTAAAGAATTTATATATGTGCGGGATATTAGCTGCTCGACTATGGGCAATGGGGGCGACCAGTCCAGTCCTTTGTTGGGCCCTCGTACCCCCTCGGACTCACCCGTCCCCATCCGATCCGCGACCAGTGCTGCTCAACCAAGTGTGCTGCTGTGGAACAGTGGGGGCGCTACTAGTCGGTGACAGGGTGCGTGCGTGGCACATGCAGCTGGCAAGGGCAAAAGGAAAGCGGACGAGCAAGCTTCGCATTCGCGAAGCTTAAAGCCCGCAGCGAGGTCGAAACGAATCGACGGTGACGAGGTAGCAGAGGGGCGAGGGACAAAGCGCCCGACCAATCAAAGCTGTCTTTCGAGGCGTGGGCGGCGCGAAGGCACGAACAGAGGGGCTCGAGGATGCACAAGCAGGCGAAGTCAGGTGGAGCGGAGTTTCCTCCTGGAGCTCTGGGCTGCACTGGAACCGTCGCTTTTGCGTGAGTAGACTACCCTCCGTTGCTCACCCCGAAAGAAGCCCGGCTTCCGCCATCCCTTGATGGGCCATCTCCGTTGATCCTTCCCCCCTCGTACAGTATCACGTCACGCCTCTCAAGCCATGACGCAACAGGCAAGAGGAGGCCTGTGCGAAGCCGGTCAAGCTGGGTGCCCTGCGCAGTGGGGGGAGGAAGCTGCACCAGATGGGAAACTGAAATGAAGCGCAAAGAGCGTGTGTCGAAGGATTGAGTAACGAGGAAACAATACAATTGAAGCAACATGTAATGAAGCGCAAAGAGCGTGTGTAGAAGGATTGATTAGCGAGGAACAATACAACTGAGGCAGCATCAAAACAACAAGGAGCATGGACATTGCTAGCCTAGGAGCACACGGTCGTGGCTCGGCAAAGCTGCGACGCGTGGTTCGAAAATTGACAAGTAGCGCCCAGATCTAGGCATGCAACAGCTGTTAAATCATATTGTGAAAGCTGCTTAGTCCATCTTGCAAAGGCAGAGTGCTTCATTTCAGATGGGTGGTTACATAGTTCTCGTCGCTAAGCGCACATACATTTGAGGGAGGGTGGGGGGGGAACTCAAACTAGAAACTGAAAATGAAGAACCTGGGTGAGGCCAACTGGTCTCACGTCCCTCTAATGTAGGCAAAAAGAGGGTGAGTAGCGGCGCGCCGCTACCTTTGCTGTGCTAGCCACGTTTCTGTTAAATTAAGAACTGGATAATAAACTAGAAGTGGAAACCTAGAACAAATACTAGCTGGTTGTACTCATTAGAAACATACCCCAGTCTAGCCTATAACTTGTACACAGCTAACATATATAAGTTGACACACCCCCTAGGCTAGACAAGGGGTGAAGCTAAGCAAGAAGCAAAAAGCTCAGGGTGGCACTACTAGTCCAACCACTGAGGCAGGGGTCTGGAGACCAGTCAGCAAGGTTACAAACAAGACTAAAGCAAGCCAGGGCGGCACTACTAGTCCAGCCACTGGAGGTAAGGCCACAAGGCCAGTCTGACAGGCATATATAATAGAGAGTACAAAATCAGGATCCTAACAGGTGAGTAGCTACATGAACAAGACCAAGCTGTACACAGTGCCGCTGATGATCTTTAGGTGCAAGCGCCTTAGTAAAGATATCAGCTGTGTTGGAACCTGAGGCCAAGTGAACAACACGGGCCTGGCGGCGCTAATGTAGCTCGCGCATGAGGAAGTACCGCAGCTGGATATGCTTCGCTCTGCCCTCAAGCCGAGGCTCCTGACATAGGAGTATCATGGCCCTGTTGTCAGCGTACAGGACCGGGGCAGAGCTAGGCCGCTCACCTAAGTCTGTGAGGAAGAAGGTCAGCCAGCGGAGCTCCTGTGCCGCCATAGCACCAGCGTAGATCTCAGCCTCACAGCTGGACTGAGCTACAGACAACGAGCGAGTGGATCTCCAAGAGATAGCACCCGAACCAAGGCTAAAGCAGTAGCCCTGCGACGACCTGAGCGTCTCAGAGTCGTCTGCCCAAGAAGCGTCTGTGTGCCCAGTGAGGACCACTGGCCTGCGTCCTCCTAACACTAACCCCATGCTCGATGTACTAGCAAGATAATGCAAAACCCTCTTAGCGACAGACCAGTGCTGAGGTCGGTGTCTGCCTGTAGCCACAAAGCGAGCCAGGATGCTGAGAGGGTATGCGAGATCTGGGCGAGTGCAAGTCATCAGGTACATGAGGCAACCCACCAGCTCTGCGTAGGGTCCACTGGGCTCTACGGGCTCCTCAGGAACGGGAGTGGAGAGCCCATGGTCTACAGGTAGAGGTGTGGGCTGTGCGAAGGAGAATTGAAGACCGAACCTCTGAAGGACCTGACGCACCATGTGTGACTGTGTCAGAGTGATGGTGCGTGCTGCTCTGTCCCTAGAGATCTGCAGGCCAAGATAGTGACGCAGCTCTCCAAGGTCAGTGCAGATGTGTCTCTTCAGCAGCTCGGCCTTCACAGAGGCCAGTGCGTCCCTGTCAGCAGTAGCGAAGACCAGGTCGTCTACGTAGACAAGGATGTAGAACGGAGTCTGGCCAGAACGCACAAACAGCGAAGGGTCAGCAGAGGACGGAAAGAACTGCAGGTCTGCTAACGTGGCCCGCAGCGTGTCGTGCCACTCGCGAGGAGCCTGACGCAGGCCGTAAACCGGGCGCCTGAGAAGCCACTGGGTCCCAGGGGGGAAGGTACCAGTGAAACCCTGTGATCGGCGCAGGTAGACCTGCTCGTGTAGGCTGCCCTGAAGAAAGGCAGTAGAGAAGTCGAGGGAGTGAAGCTCGTAGTCGCGCTGTGCTACTACGTGTAGCAGCGCCCGAAGAGTGGTCATCTTCGGGGTCGGGGCAAAGGTCTGGAAGAAGTCAACCCCCTCGCGCTGACTGAAGCCTCTGGCCACGTAGCGCGCCTTGAAGACAGGCGGCTCTCCAGGGGGGCGCTTCACCTTGAAGAGCCACCGACCATCGACTACGTTCACCCCAGGCGGGGGAACTGCGTCGACGTAAGTGCTGGTGGATCTCCAAGATGCCATCTCCTGCTCCATGGCAGCTATCCATTGAGAGGCCCAAGGTCCCGAGGTGGCCTCAGCGTAGGTGCGAGGGGTCGGGATGTCGAAGGCGTCTGGGTCACCCTCAGGGACTAACAGCATGGAGGAGAGATGGGGAGCAGCCTCAGAGAGGAAAGCAAGCTCGTACTGCCTGTCCTCTAGGACGTCACTGCCAAGGGCAGGAGCACCCCCGACGGACGGAGGACGGGCAGGGTCAGAGACCAGAGCGGTAGCGTAGTCAAGGCGGCGGGTAGAGGCAAAGTCAGCGACAGCAGCGACAAGCGCGTCAAGGCGCGAGACAGGAACAGCAGGGTCGGTAACAAGAGAGGCAAGGACCCGAGGGACAAGGGGACGAGCGGCACGGAGGTAGTCAGAGAACGGAGGAGGTGCAATAGCAAGGGACGAGGGAGGAGGGGACGGGAGGAGGGGAGGACGAGACGAGCGGGAACGGAGCAACATAGGGTGGGTGGGAAGGACAGGAGAGACGGGACGAGCACGGGAGGGACGGCGAGACCAAACGTGAGACGGAGGTGTAGGGTCAGGGGACAGCGGAGGGGACACAGGAGGGGAACAAGGAGGAAGACGGGTCGGAGACGAGTCCGGCGGCGGGAACACAGGACCGTAGACAGGAAGGTCAGCGGGCGGTGGGGGAGACACCGGCGCGCGGTCCGGGGAGGGAAGGCCGAGCAGGCGGAGAGCGGAGACCGGCGGCGACGGCTGCTTTGGCGGCGGCGACGGCTGGGCCGGAACCCTCGGACCGGCAGAGGCAAGACGACCGTCGGCAGAACACTCAACAACAGCACTCCCAGAACCAACACCCCCAGAGCGAGAACCCCCTCCAACACCAGCGGCACCCCCAGAAGACGCAGGACGAACACCCTCCTCAACACCAGCACCCCCAGGGGCGAAGAGCGGCAGCGACAGGGGCGGCGACGATTGCGGCGGCGGCGACAGCGGCGACGGCTGCGGCGGCGACGGCGGCGGCGGCTGCAGCGGGGTCGGTGACTGCGACAGTGCGGGCGGAGGCACCGTGGCAAGGACGGACCGGGGGTACCACCAGAGTCGGCACACTCCTCAACGGGGACAACCGACGGGAGGGGAGTGACGTGAGAGACACCAGACGGGGCAGGACGAGGCGAGAGAGGGGCAGGGGCTACCGGGGGAGAGGGAGCAAGGAACAGGGGGGGGGCAACCAGGAGACCTCGGTGAGGGAAGCGGCGGTAGAAGGAGACATACTCGTCGAAGGTGACGTTACGAGAGTGGAGGAAACGGTGAGAGGGCGGGTGGTAGAAAAGCCAGTCAGACGAGTCCAGGGGGAAACCGAGGAAGACACAGGGGATAGTGCGGGCAGTGAGTTTGTCAGTGCCAGAGGCACGAACGTGAGCAAGGCAGCCCTAGACATGGAACGCAGACGCGTCACCGGGGGACCCGGTCCAAAGGTTGGTCGGCGAAACCTGCGGCCGCTGGGAGCGTGGCCACAGGTTAAGCTGGTGAGCAGCGTAGTGAACAGCGAACGGCCACAGAAAATGGGGGGCATCGGCATGAATCATGGAGGTACGGGCGACCTCCATGACCAAGCCGATGCGGCGCTCAGCGACCCCATTCTGCTGTGGCGAGTCCGGCAACGTGTACGACTGGGTGATGCCCTCTGCACGACAGAAGTGTCCAAGCCGACCAGAGGCGAACTCGCCGCCACGGTCAGAGTGGAGACACAACACGAGGAGACCGCGATGAAGACGCACAGCTACGACCCACGGGAGAAGAACGTCGGGCACGTCGGCCTTCCGCCCCAGGGGAAACACCGTGGTGTAGCGCGTGTAGTCGTCGACGAGCACAAGGAATTAGCGCTCACCTCGCGGTCCGGGGACGGGGGCAGGGCCCCAAACGTCCAGGTGCAGGGTCTGAAGGGTGGCAGTAGCAGGGCGCAGCGAGGAGGAGTGAGGGGAGCGGCGGAGCCGGCCCTCGACGCAAGGCGTGCACGGTGGCGCAGTCGAGGGAGGAAGGGCAGGGAGCGACGCAGGGAGACCTAAGACAAGACCGTGCTGGGACATGTGACGCAGACGTGGGAGTGCAGGGTGACCTAGGCGGTGGTGCGAGAGAAGGGACGGGTGAGTGAGGGACTGACATGAGCAAGCTGCAGCGACCTGGGAGGACGCACCAACCGGGAGGAAAGCGGTGTCTAG